CGTTTGTGAGGGCCTGGCCTGGCAGCTCAGAGCTGAACAGGCGAGGCTTGCGGTGACGCAGCCCAGGTGCTGACATCACTGCGTCTTACGAACGGTCGCTGGTCTGTGGGCGTGGTCCGGCGTGGGCACAGTGGCAGTTGGAAGCCCTCAAGTCCACCGCGGACGAGCGACGAAAAGCGTTTGTCCGTCGGTGGACGGAAGAGAGGCGACGGAAGATGGGCGGGGACGGGGCGGAGGATAGAACAGGGAGGGGCGCGAGGCGGGGCGAAGGCCCGTTGAGGGATTGCAATGGCCATCTGGCCAACAAAGGACAACGCGCGCGGACCGGCGACCGTGTGTGAGGGCTTTGCCTGGCAGCTCAGAGCTGACCAGGTGAGGTTTGCGGTGATGCAGCCCAGGTGCTGACATTACTGCTTCTTACGCGCGGTCGCTGGTCTGCTGTGCATACGAAACGTGTGTCTCGGCCCCCGGTGATGCGGGGGCAGGCCACGCGAAAACGCGAAAACGCGAAAACGGCGAAAACGGGAAAACGGCGGAAACAAAGTGCTTGGATTTGACACAGCTCACGGTTTTCTAGAACACCGCATCGGCGCGAAAACGCGAAAACGGCGAAAACGCGAAAACGGCGAAAACGGGAAAACGGCGAGTAGTTGGGGAAGAGTGCCCAGTATTTGCAAAAGACCAGTTTCAGAAGAATGGAGAGTTGCAGAATAGGACTTTGTTCCTTTGATAATAAGCCTCAGTAGCACGCAAAAAGGAGAGTGTTGAAAACGTTAAACTGAGAACTAGACGACGGTTGGCCCGAGAGCGAGACATGTAATTGTCCAGCACTGTCGAAAAGATGTATAGAAAGGGAGAAAGAGAGGGTGGATGTGAAGGAGTGATAGTGTGGATGCGCAGGTGCAATATAGATTCTGTAGATGTATGGAGGTGGAGGTAGATCTGTGGATGTGAGCGTGCAAAGATGTAAATGCACAGAGACGAGAGAAAAGATATGTAGAAAGAAAGAAAGAAAGACAGGACAGATGTGAAGGAGCGACAGTGTGGATGTACAGATGTGATATAGATGTGCAGATGTGTGGGTGTGGTGCGGTGGAGAGGTAGATCTGCGGATGTGAGCG